CATCCTCTGGCAAGGAGTTCCACAGGTTGACTATGTACTGTGTGAAGAAAACCTTCCTTTTGTTTTAAACCTGCTTCCTATTAATTTAATTTGGTGACCCCTAGTTCTTATATTATGGGAACAAGTAAATAACTTTTCCATTTTAGCCTGAAGAGTTGTGCAGCAATAAGCAGGTGGTTTTTTTTTTTAATTTAAAAAAAAAATCTACACTAAGAGAACACAGGCATGAGTGATCTACTGTCCATTTCATGACCTACTCTGCTGCAGTGACCACAAAAATTTAACAGGTAGTGCTGGTGGTGGGTGAAGACCATCTATCATGCTATGCTTTGCCTCATAGTTAGAGTCTTGCAATGCCGCCACTATCTGCTTTATAGCTGCAGCTCATGTTTTCGGCTACAGATGTGGATACAAATTTTGGATCTCACACTCTGCAAGTGTGCAGATATATCTGTGGGTATCTGCATCCATGGATGTGGCTGCGGATATCCGGGGATCATGCAGATACCAATTTTGTATCCTTGCAGGTTGCTACTTATACCCCTCTGTCTCTATCCAACTGTTGGCTCTTGGCTGATACTTACATTATAGACTCCCCCAGGGCAGGAGCCATCTTTGTCTTGTGTTTGTACAGCACCTAGCACACTATGGCCCTTGGTCATGACTAAGGCTCCTAGGCTGTACAGGAATACAAATAATACATTATGGGACTTATTCTGCAGGTAGGCAGCAGTCCTATGAATCACAGTGTGTGAGGGTGCTGCAGCTTCCAGGCACAGGCTCATGTTGTGTTGCTTGCTCACACTCATGCCTGTGTTGTCACAGCATCAATTAAAAAACAAAACCAAACCTGGCACAACTATTCAGACCAAAATGGAGCTGGCTCACAGCAAAGAGAAGGCAGGATGCCAGCTTTAGTGGCATGTCACAGCAGACAAGCCACTTGGTACTAAGAGGCTGGTTATATGGAACAAAGTGCTGCAATCTTAGCCATAAAATGTTGCAATCCATGCTGGTCAGCCTCCTTGATGTTCAATCCAATTTCACACCTGCAAAGTAGGCCAGAAGGAAGGAGGCAGGCAACTGAAACTTGTTACCAGGAAGGACTAACTAAACTAATTAGAGCCTCCCAATCACATGAAGAAAATAGGAATTTATATTTATACAATAATGATGGGGACTAATTTAGCTACAACTACTCAAGAGAGAGATCTTGGAGTCCCTGTGGATAGTTCTCTGGAAACATCCACTCACGGCGCAGCAGCACTTAAAAAAAGCAAACAGAATGTTAGGAATCATTAAAAAGGGATAGAGAGTAAGCCAGAGAATATCTTGTTGTCTCTATATAAAACCATGATACGCCCACATCTTGAATAGTGCGCACAGATATGGTCGCCGCATCGCAAAAAAGATAGCGTGGCATGGAAAAGGCTCAGAAAAGGGCAACAAAATGATGAGGGGTTTGGAACGGGTCCCATATGAAGAGAGATTAAAAAGACTTGGACGTTTCAGCTTAGAAAAGAAGGGTACGTCTACACTTGCCCTCTAGTTCGAACCAGGGAGGCAAATGAAGCATACCGAAGTTGCAAATCAAGCGGGGGATTTAAATAGCGCGTGCTTGATTAGTATATTCACGGCCGGTTGCCATTTTAAAATGCCGGTTGCCCGATTTAACTTGCCGCGTGTAGACACGGTAGTCAGATTTAAAACCCTTCCCTCGAATTCACTGTTGCTCCTCATTGAAACCAGCCGTTCTGGAGCTGCACCACCTAAGCCAGGCCATTTTTAATCAGGCACTGGATGCAGTCCTGAGTGGGGGCCCCACGCCCTCCACTGAGAACCCTGTGGCTACTTCCAAAGGACCTGAGTCAGCAGAAAGAGGACTTAACCCACAGGATGAAGAGCTAGGCCAGGGGCAACGAACCAAAGCCCAGATGCAGTCCTCAGCTAGCCTGGATCTACCCCACCAGCACTGCGGACCCTGCGCCAGTCCCATAGCCCCCACCTGACTGATTTTTCTGTGGGTGACCAGCCCCCGGCCCAAAAATGTTAAGCCAGCCTAGGACAGGGGGTTCACAGAGGGGTCGCACGGCCTGGCAGGCAGCCAGCGACAGTTCCCAAGTCCCAAAGCTAACGTGGAGTCTCAGCGGCAGCCGGAATCGGAGCATGAAGCAAGGGAAGAGATGCAAGATAAGCGAGCCCTGCAGAGGGATGCTCTGGAAGCCTGTGGACAGACTGGGCACCCTTGGAATTATTCCTTGGAAAAACCCACTTGCGCAATGCCGTTACACCTATTACTTTTCAGGAAGAACGGCCTTGCGCACGAGGGTTTTTCTTGCGCAAGAAGGGGCAGTGTAGACGCTCCTTGCGCAAGCGCCTCTTCTGAAAAAAAATGGTGGCTCATTAGGTATGCAAATGAGGCTCAGCAATATTCCACGCTTAGCCTCATTTGCATATTACTCGCATAAGAATCCACGAGTGTAGACATAGCCCTAGTGTGGATATTGAGCAATGCAAGTGGTACCTAGACCACAGCAACAGTTAAAAGACCAAAAGACCTCTACAGTGTGGGCTGGGAGCCAGGTGGCTTTTAGCTCAGAGGGTAGAGGCCCCTATACTCTGCTTCAGACGTCCCAGGTTCAAATCCGCCTGGTGGTGGTTACACCTACACTCACAATCCTTTTCGCAGACAGGGAACGCTCATTTTCCACCACACTCCACTCCCCATCAGTGGGACATACACACAATTGTGAGCTTTCCCCTCACCCTCTCTTACCAACACACATTCATCCAAGCTGTGTGACCGTGACGTGCAGCCATCAGTAAAGGCAGAGCTGCCGAAAGGTACAAGGACTTTATTTTCTGTTCCACAACCCACACCAGTTGCTCAGACCCTAGGGAAGCCAGGCACAGCCCTTGCTTTCATGGGATTGTGTTACTCAGAACGAGTAGCGGGATGCAGCACGGAAGCAGCCCCACGACAGACATTTCAGAGCCCTCATGGTTCAAGTGGCTTCCTACCACCTCCCTGATGTTGACGGCTGCCCCCTGGGCTCCTCGGAGAGCCCTAGCAGCTGGCTGCTCAAACTGTGCACTCAGGCGCTGTGCCTCAGTGGTGCACCCGAGAGCAGACACTTCACCCACACACATGGTGAAAGCCACAGCACGTGGCTATAATCACTGGCATAGGATCCTCCAGAAGGTCCAGCCTGCCACAGACACCCCTCCACCTCCCTTTCAGTCTGCCAAAGGCACCTTCAACAGCCACAGGCATCAACTTAGCCTGTTGTTAATCTGCTCCTGACTGCTGTCCAGGTGGCCCATATAAAGCTTCACGAGCCAGGGCTGTCAGGGATAAGCCAGGTTGCCCAGGATCACTGTGGGCATTTCCACATCCCCCACTGTAATTTTGTGGTCTGGAAAGAAAGTCCCAGCCTGCAGCTTTCCGTGCAGGCCAGTGTTCCTGAAGCCGTGTGCGTCACACATCTCTCCAGACCACCCTGCAGTTCTGGCCGTGAAAGGCCTCTGGTGAGCGCCACACGCGCCTGAAGCACTGAGAAGTACCCCTCTTCTGATTGTTGTACTCTGGCTAGATGGGTGGTGCTACAATGGGAATGTGGATGCCATCGATTGCCCCATCCCACTTAGGAAAGCCCATCTCTGAAAAGCCAGTCTCTACGTCACACCCATTTCCCTGTGTCACAATCCCCCACAGCACAAGCTTTGGTGACCTTTTTTTGGCAACTTCCACGTATCGACATTTTAATCGGCAAGACTTGGCCCTGTAGACATACCCCCCAGAAAGGCCTCTTCTCCCGACCCCTGGGGGTCCCCCCACACGCACCTACACTTCTGTTTGGCATCTCAGAAATCTTGTCAACACAGGCAAACGGAATAAGGCAGACTCGGGTAGCAGTACATGGGGAAGAGCTGGAAGACACTGGCAGACTAAAACGAGCACGATACGCTTTCCATTCAAAGTTACTGGTGACTTGAAAGCAATACGGCTGACGGAGCATTCGGTTTTTCCTATTCTATTAACCATTTTAAGACTATAAGGAGTCACAGTCAAGTGTGCTACTAAACCCATTAAGAAGCTGGAGGAAGATAAAGATGAAATAGGATTAGTCTCGCTTTAGTTTAATTATGCATAGCTTTCCTCACCTTCCCTACTGGCAGGCTCTGGGTCTGCCCAACGCTAACTAGCATTTCAACCTCCCTCTCCTCCATAGAGAGGATATTAGCCTTTCACTAACGCACGTGTGGAAGATTTGTTCAGGAACTACTCTGAAAGGAGCCAAGTGCTCTTTTGATTAGAGCAGGACGTGGGTGAGGCAACGTACCACTGAAGAGCTGCGGCCATGCAACTCGTTTACTCTTAAAGTTCTTTGGATGATTGATTTACAGACCTGCCCACGGAAACTGAAGATCCCCACAAAACAACCCTGAGCGCCTGCCCTTCTCATGAAGTGTTAGGGGACAGGGGATGTTTCCAGCCCTCTCCCCTTTTGCAACCACTAGCTGAGGGCTCACATTTTGGGTCAGCACTTTATCCCAACACCCCTTAATCAGAGCAGGTGGGCAACATATGTAAAAAGTCATTTAATTATAAAATAAATAGGTCTCCTTTAAGTTGTGCTCATACATTAAAAACAGTAATAAATATTTACAATAGTATAAAATTCATTTTTTACAATGTCTGCCTGTCGACATTTTCATCAATAATATAAAATTAATTTTTTTCTTCTGTATGTAAGTAAACCGTTTTGCTTCATCCACGGAAAATATTTTCTATTAAGCCTTTTGAAATAAGTTATAAACATGCATTCTTTTCGGGGGCTGGAGGGGGGGAGAGAAGGTCACTAGTCCTTCATGCACAAGATTGGTTTGGATCTGTTAAGGGACGTTTCCACATGAGATCAGGACACACGTCAGAAACAGGAGATTTTAAGGCAAAGTAGTTTAGAAAATTTTGTGCATTTAGGGGGGTGGGGGTACAATACCTACAAGAGATATTGTTTCAATTGCATGCTGAATAGCAGCAAACTCCATTCTTCAGGAGAGTATTGAGACTACAATATTATATCTCGGATTTCGTCTTTTACGACTTGAGGTTAAGTTGGAAGTGCCAAGAGCTGGGAGCCCGGGGAAGAAGATATGAATTGATTAACCTTTTCTGTCTATAATCTAACTCAGAAGGTCTGTAACAGAAGACCCAAGGAAAGCCTGAAAAACTAAGCATTGTCTGGAAACTCAGTGCTCGTGTTTTCTTTAATAAGTGTCCTAGCAAGGGCAGCAGCACCTAACTCTTGACCTTATGAACTTCAATAAAACCTTTATCCTAGTTTTCCAAAGTACTAGAAGAAAAACCTGAAGACAACCTGAGTTGGACTCCACAGCAGTTGTTTGGTCCAGCAAATGTGTGCCTAACTCTACTCACGTGAACAGTTGCACCGAAGTCAATGAAACCACGCATGTTTAAAGCGTTCACAGGATAAGAACCAGGTTAGCTACAAATGGGAACTTCAGGGAGAGATCCTGAGTAAATGGTGAGGAAGAACCGAAGTCAGGGCTTGTCTACACCAGGCTTTCATTTGTGCTAGCCACCTGGACGATGGGAACCTTGCTGGCAGGCACTGCAAGTCTCCCAGGGTGCATGATGGCTATAACTGGGTTCCTCTGCACTAGGGAACTTGTAGCATCTACCAGCAAGGTCAACTCAGGTCAGTTAGTGAACAACTCACTAGTGCAGACTAAAATTCACTCCTCTCCGGGGCAGACAAGCAGGTGAAGCATGGAGGGTCACCCCGGTGGGAGAACAAAGCTCTTCCCCTCCTCCACGCCAGCAGCCCCTCTCCTGTCAAAGTTCTGGGGGAACAAGCTTAATCAAGTCCCATCCTGTTCCTTTTGGGTGACAATGGGACAGAGGAGGAACAAGTCCTCCTGTCTCCTTATAGCCACGATTTTCCTTAAAAAACAGAGTTCCTCCAGCAAGCCTCACGGCTGGGTATTTGCATCCAAACAGCAAGGCAAAAACCAAAAGGGATCCAGGTAGCAGCAGAAAGATGGTCATCCTCCATCGGTGACCAGATGGGCCCCAGTGGCGGCAGTTCCCACGTTGCTCTTGACAGTGGTGCTTTTAACCCCCCCAGTTGGATCCTCCTCCACCGGGTGTGTTGGCACCTGCCCACCCCAGCTTTGAGCTTTGGCTGTCTCCTTAGGGGATCCGTCTTGGTTGAGTGGGGCCATGTGGTTCCAACACCAGCCATTCCTCCGGGTGTCTTCACGAAGGAGTGACCCTCTTAGTGGCGTGTTCTGCAAGGGACAAAACAGACTTAATCCCACCATTGGAAGGGCACGACCCAGTTCGAAAACCAAGCCATTGCAGTCTGAGAACCTGGCTTTTGCTGTCCGTCTACGTGCTGAGAGTCCTAGGCAGTACGAAACCCCATTCATTTATCAAAGCTTGAAGGCCTGAATACTTACTGCCTTGAGAAAGCAGTAAGCATCAACCCGCCTAGGCACAAGTCAAACTAAGGGGCCAGATCTCCAGCTGGTCTAAAACCACCAACTACGCCAATTCAAGACCTAGCCCCGTGGTCTGTCCTTGAAATCATTCTTTCCAGTTCTTTCCTGGCCAGCTCCATCAGCCCCTAACACTCAACGAGAGAGCTAGGCATGGAGTCTACGGCTCTGAGGTGATCCCACTCAAAAAGGGTCTGGAATCTTGTCTAAGAAGGGGAGATAAAGGTAGATTTTTAAAGGGGTTTTAAGTGGGCCTGGTAGAGAAAGCAGAACTGGATACCTCACAGAGAGACTGACTGGATACCTCAGAGAATCTATGTAATGGCCGCTAAGACATGACAAAAGATTGTGTGACATGCAAGAGAGCACGTGACAACTGAGTGCTGCTCTCTTTTTGCAGGAGATGGAGCCGCAAGAACACGCTGCCGGTCTCAGCCCTCCAACAGGACAGATGCTCACATCCCAGTTGGCTGGCACCTTGGTGCTGACTGGACACATTCCCTTCCCTTGGGTTTAAATATGGCTCATGCAGCCCCGGGTGAGGACAAGGAGCTAGGAAGCTCGTGCTCCTCTTGCACAGAGGAATTTTGGTCTCCAAGGCCAAGTCAGAATGAGTTTCCATGGAGCTAACTGGGGACTTCAGTTTAGATAGGACCCAATCTCCCTAGGTACCAGAATGAATAGAAGAGCCCAAGAGAGGGAAACAAATGCTTTGCACCCTCCCTTCAGGCCATCCAAGCATGGTTTCTTCTTCTGTCATGACTCAGAACTGGTCTGCGGCCTCAGAGGGAGCATGCTCTTCAAAGCGCCAGAGCGCCCATGGCTCTGTACTACTCCCATATGGAAATAGCTCCCTTTGGAAGGCTTTTCCTCAGCACCTGCCCTTCCTGGGAGCCAGGGAAAGCAGGCAC